ATTACATAAACTTTATTCTAGATGTTAATTTTATTAGAACTAATAATTTTATTAGTAAAGACAGAGGTTCTGTATAGAGGCATGAACACTCAAAGAACCTTTTGCATGATTAAATCATTTTTTGCACGGAGAAATGGTTCTTCAGATTGATGGAGAATGTGTTGTATATAGTTCTTAATAGAACATTTTTGAAAATAGTTATATCTAGCACTAAAAAGAGTTCTGCTGTTACAATGTCAGGCTTGTAACAATAGAAGAACCCTTTTTGGTGCTATATAGAACCTTATACTACACATTCTGATTCAATCTGAACAATCATTTCACCATACAAAGATTTTTTTAAGCATGCAAATGTTCCTTCAAGTGTTCATGGCTCTATATAGAACCACTGGGCCTCATTCACCAGTATCTTTCTAAGTTTGTTCTTAAATGTGTTCTTGAGAAAGGTCCTAAGAAAAAGTCTCCGTCAGATTCATGACATGTTCTTAAAGCGCAGAACTGTTCTCACCTTTGTGCTGTTGAGTGTGTGCAGATTCTGTTCTTACCTAAGAACAAATCCCAAATAAGAAAACATTAGTGAATGTCAGACTCTTTATCAAAACTGTGAGTTTCTTCTTAAGAATGGTTGGTGAATATGGTATGATGAACAAATGTTCAAATTTTATTAGAACTTCATTCTGAATATTTATTTAGTGAGCTTAATAGAGCTTAATTAGATTATGCTAATTTCTGTTAGTGTCACAGTGGGATTTTAGCACTTTGCTGGTTCTATTGCACATTTTTTGGCCATTCTAGATTAAACACAGATATTTGAAGCTTGTAAAAATCATTCCATATATTTTATCTGAAGCTTGTAACCAACATTATCATATACCTGTGTATCAGTTTTGCAGTGACTCCTTTAGTAAAGAGTTCTGACATAGAGCTGCTGCCACTGTTTGACATTCCTGACAACTGACCAGAACCTGCTTAGACCACAACTCATATTTACAGTCAGTTAGCTAGAACTTCTAGAAGGACTTGAGTGACATTTTTGGTTCCACCCATTATAAATCAAAGCATGACTGAGTGATTTCTCTGTCACTTCCTTATAATGTTGGTAGCTAATCTAATGTGTAAGGCCTTCAGTCCAGCTCCTGAAATCCTAACCAGTGGGAGAGCATCTCAGCTGTATCTACCTACATACCGCAGAGAGAACAATCCTGATTGAATCATTTTCTGTTGGGCGTTTCAAGGTCTTTGTTTTGACCCAAACCTTGAAATGAATGAATGAAATGAATAATACTACAGTGCTTGCAGACTCTTAAGGCGGTTAGATACTGATAACATTTTGACGGTGCTAAAGCTCCATAGAAAGTCACCTCAGGCTGAGATCACACTTAATCTGTGCCTCTCGCACTAATGCATAATGTATAAATGGCAGCTTTACTGGAGAAGTGGTCAGAAGTGCGAGGTTGTAAGGAGTAGCTTTTAAATTGTGCATGATAACCTGGGTCAGTCTCTGTTAGCCTAAACATGATATGCATTATTAATAACAAGAACACTGCGCTGCACTGTCCAGCACTACAGATTTCTCGCATTATAGATCAAAGTCCTTGTGCGTTTTCTTTCACGTGCAGAATTAATAGCCTTATTTCTACACTGTTATGACTGATGAGATGAGCCGGATGTCTTTGAAAAGACTCAAGGTCTTTTGAAGGTTTTAATGATTTATTTGCCAATTAGCAACACTGGAAATTAGATTGAGAATTAGCTTTATATCAGACGTGTTTCATGCTCTGTTGGTTTTAAAACGTGTTCCCTTTAACCTACACGTGGTCTCCCATTAACAGCATTAACTAATAGTTTTTAAAGCTGTGTTCCTCAATCCATGCTAACATGCTAACCATGTGATTTGGCTTTGATATAAAATTCAGTTCAACGTTTCAGTGCTTACGGGAGAAACAAGAGGCATTTTTATACCAGTATTTAAAAGAAAAATCACAAAACTTTATCGTGGATGATTTCCAATCAAAAGTAAGGGTTTCTTACAAAGGGTTAATATGAAAAAGCTCATTTTCCTCATCTTTTCTTTTCAACCTGTTAACTCTCACCCCATTTTTGCCTGAAACGGCATGCCCAAAGTTTCCCCAGCTGTCAGAATGATTGTATGAATTAGTGAAGTCAAGTCTTATTTATGTAGTGCTTTTTACAACAGGCGTTGTCACAAAGCAGCTTTACAATAAAATCCGGGTCTGAGCCCCTGTGAGCGTCGCCAATGGAGACAGTGGCAGGAAAGACTCCCCAAGACTGGGCCTACACTACACAGTTTTTTTGCCTGATTTTAACCCCGATTTGCCCCTTGAAACAATTTTTATTCATTTATTTTTTTAAGCGATTTTCTATGTTGGGACCTTGATCAGAAACGAGTGGTGGTGCAGATGATCTGTAGTGTGAGAGAAGGGAGTGAGTCTTTAGCTCTCCGATTGAACTCTGAAGAGATCAGAGACCCTCCAATATTATCAAACATGTTTGATATTTACGACTCAAAATGGTCATGAGTCCTCAAGTGATTTAAACAACAGCCAATCAGAGAGCTAGAAGAGCAGAGAAACAGGCAAAGAAACGTTCAGTGAACACCACGTGAACAGCGGAACGTGCTGATATCATGTTTATCATGTTAATAATGTTGGATCTAGACATCAAAACACTCTCTTTACAATTTCAAGTGAGCTGCCAGTTTGTAGTGAAATATTTCTGCAGATCTCACTGTGATATCAGCGTTTCTCAAACGCATTTGAATCACCAGTTTGCACTTTCGCTCCGCATAAAAGGACAGACAGGTCCAGTCCAGTAAGTGATATGTTTGTGAAGTGATATGTGAGGAGATCTGAGAGTTTGAGTTCTTATTCGTAGCCCAAACTCGTTATGTGTGTTATTCTCTCTCTTTGCTATGTGGTCTAGTCTGAGCGCCCTCACGACAAAAAGACAAGAAATTCTGTGACAAATTGAAAGTTTGTGACGCTCTCCATTTTAGAAATCTGTTAAGATTTTAAGTCATGTAGTGTATGCTCAGCCTAAGAGTAAGAGAAAAAAACTTTGAGAGGAACCAAGACTCAAAAGGGGAACCCAGCCTCCTCTGGACCACACGGGATAGCAAACAATAACGCAAGAGCAAAATGAACAGAGAATAAGGGTTTAACATTAGTATACAATTTTAAAATACAGAAAAAGCATAAAACAGGTTAAGCTTTACTGACACAGAGTCTAGAATGGAGGAGTTTATTTCCTCCTGACTCTTAGATCTCTGAACTGATCCCTGACTCTTGCCGTGTTATCAGACCACAAGTTTTGGATTAATAATAAAGGTACCCTTGGAAATAAAGATAGTAAACTGTCACTGGGGCAGTACCCCTCTGGTCACTGGGGTGGTTCCCTCAAGGGTACATCTCAGTACCTTTAGTCAGGGAACACAATTGTACCATAATCCATTGAAATTATATATTCTAAGTTGTATTGACTCCACACACCCCGTCCTGTCTCCAGGCTTTTTATTTTATTGTTCTGTTTAAAACATTCGGTTATAAAAAGGTATAAATATGTACTTATCACCTGGAAAAACTTACTAAGGTGAGCAATTGGACCTTAAAACCACTGTGGTACCTTTGAGGGAACATTTACATTGGTTGTACCTTGATGAATGAAATACATATATATATATATATATATATATATATATATATATATATATATATAGCGCTATGCTAATTGGTGGGATATAAGTTCATTACTTGTTAACCTTAGCCTTGTAAAGAAGCTTGTCAACTTTTGTGGTGAGGCAGGACAACTTTGTGTATCTTTGATAATTTTCTGAACTATCGCTTTAACGTTACAGTGTATTGATCAAGCTATGTTGGTGGTTTAACTTTAAATGAGTCTTTGGCTTGCAGAGCTTGTTTTTGTTTTGACTTTTATGGGCGATAAATGTTCTGAGGTGAGCATTAGTGTCTGGTTTTTCATCTGACCGCGCATGATGTCACTGCTGAAGTGCTTTATATCTATAAAAGGTCTGAAGGTGGATATGGATCAATATGAAGGCTGATTAAATGTGTTTTATAGCACAGGATGTTCTCTTCTGTGGGAAATAATAAGAAAAATGACCACATTTGTTATATTTTGATACATGTGGCTCTGGCTGCCCGGGACTTTTCAGAACCTAATTTAAAACCAACATGATGATGTGTTAAAATCTTATTTGGATAAAGCATCTAATTTTTTGGCAGAAGAAATGGCCAGTATTAACCGTAGAGGTCTCAGTTTTAGCTGGCACTAATAAAAGCATGCTGGGAATTTAGATTAATTATTTTACCTCTAATTATTTGCATTGTAATGGCAGATTTGTCATGTTTTGTGATTTTTTGACATCAAAACAAAGGGAAAAAGGCTGGAGAGTCAAATGTGAAAATTGAATGGAAGACTTTATTGTCATTGTAGTTATACAACAAAAGTTTGCTTGGTAGCTTTTAGAGGAACCAGCAGCAAAAAATAAATAAATAAACAGAAACATTGACAGGGCTCTATATGTATGCAGTGGATCTGGACAGTGCAATCAGTGCAATGTGTACAGGTATAAACAGGTATTTCAGAGGAAATATTGCACAACTTAATAATAATATCTACAATATTTGTAAATGTAGTTTTTTTATGTGATAAAGAAATTATGTAATTATGTTAGCAAAGCAAATGTAATAACTTGACCTCTAAGGGTTAAAATTAATATTTGAAACAGTGTTCAGGACTTGTTTGCTTTACTTTGTGAAACTGTTTTATAAAAGCAATAGAACACTGGGGGTGGCGTGTTACTGTGAATAATGTCATGATTTGTTGTGATTAAATCAGAGTTTTGATGTTTTCCCTGCTGTTAATCAGCCTATACATTCTGTTTATTCCAGTTTTGATCAGCCAATGTGTAAAATGCTTATTCAGCATCCGCTCTGTCGTATGTGTCTCTCTCCAAACAGAACGGTCTGATGCTTCCAGTGACAGAAAGCTGCCCAATTCTCAACTGCACAGTGAAAGAGCAGATTCTCCCAGAGAACAGGTGTTGCAACGTCTGCAGAGGTGAGTGTTTCTTCTTTTTTTTCTTTTCCTCCTCATGCATAACTGTCCCCTATATGCTCTGCTTATGACAAGCATCCTGCTGAACACACACAGTCCTGTCCCGCCAGACAGAGCCACCTGTTCCAGCATCTCCACAACACCCTCACGTCTCTTACCTTTCCTCTGTGACTGATTCCTCTAATCTCGGCTGTGCTGCAGAATTCATCGACTTTTGTTTGTCCACTTTCTTCTTTTTTTTGAGATAATTTTTGTGGCAAAGTCGATTTGCAGATGTAGATTTTTATTGTATCGGTATAGCTAATAAAAAAAATGTGATATGAGCGTATAATGATGCACCACTGTTTTTTAGATCAGCATAACTCAGCAATACTCAGAAATAGTCCTCAAGTTATTGTATTGCATGTGGTTCTTTATCATACTTTGTAAAAAATTAATTTATATTTTTATTTAATCCTTTAAGACCTACATTGAGACACTTCTGCCATTGCATATTTTTGTTGTTTGTTACAGAACCACAAAGTGTTCTATATTCAGCATAACCTCAGCTAATAAAATGTCATTTAGTAAATATTTTTACACAATGTATTCATGAATTAGCCCATAAACCACTGTAGCACAAAACAAGATTTGTTTTTTATTGAAGTCATGAAATCGAAAGACATCCTAAATACATAAAGCAAGCTCATTTTTTTGTGCTACTGTGGTTTTATGGGCTAATTCATGAATATGCTGTGTAGAAATATTTACTGAATGACATTTCATTAGCTGAGGTTGTGCTGAATATGGAGATATATAACACTATATTCGTGAATTAGCCACCTTAGCACAAAATCGGGCTTGTTTTTTATTTTAAAAAAATCTAAGTCATGATGTCACAACAAAAATATTTTCTACAAAAAACTGCACAAAACCCTCTGACCTGAAATACATGTTATTTGAAGTCTTTACTTCATGTTTTCAGGTTCTGTCGTTTGTTCTGGACAGTGTCCTTCTGTGTTGTTATTGAACATTGCTTATATATGAAGGTTTTCTTGGTAGTTTCAGTCCACAGTTACAAATAAGTGCTTTATAAACTCCACACAAGAAAGGGGTCAGTTTATATATATATATATATATATATATATATATATATATATATATATATGTGTGTGTGTGTGTATTCTTTAACACCGTCTGAATCATCTGCATCATAATGCCAAAATCAGTCATGTCTTCTGGATGACATGATTTGGGATCTGAAGTGTTCCCCCACTGTGTGTCGTTCTGTGGTGGGACAGCAATTCTAGAGCCTTGTATATAATAAATAAATAATAATAAGTAAAAAATGGGATTGGGCCATAAACTTACCTAGAGTCAGTCTCACAACCACTTGCTCTGAATCAGAAACTCTAACTGACTGATGCAACCTAACCAAAGCTGATCTACACACCTGTTTTCCAGCGGTGCCCATCTCAACATTCAAATTTTCAAGTCGCACACTGTGATTCACTAACCAGAGCCAGTCAGATGCAGTATGTGTGGACTACATATCACATGACATGTCATAAATACAGACAGTGGATTTAAACTTGATTAACAAAAAGATTAAACAAGGTTTGTGGCAAGTGCATAGCAAAGATGTACATGTTTTCTGTAAATTTACACTGTAGGTTTACTTAGGAAGCAAACGACACACCTGGGCTTGTATTTTAGGGCTTTCCTTCTAGTTTCAAGGTGAAAAAACACTGAGGAACAGTTACGCTTGAAATATAGCATGGTATTCCATCTCGCCAGCGAGATGGCCAGTTCTGAAGGGTTAAAGTACCAAACCAATTTGATTCAAATAATAAGTTAAAAGAATGTCAGATGCAGGTTATTTCAGTAAAATATGGTTAGTGGTGGTCCTGTGGTGGTCTCCTAACTGTTGAATGGTGTAGATGGTGATAAACTGCACAGTAACAGATGAGCTGCAGTGTGTAATTGTAGACCTACAAAATACACCTGTATGTAAGATGTTTTCAATAAAAAGGCCAATCAGTGTAGCTACAAGGCAGGTGGATGTAATAAACTGGACACTCAGCATAGAGTCATATAAGTTTAACATTAACTGTGAAAGTCTACCACAGAAGACTGTTTGTGATTGCTTAATGTAAATTTAATGTAAACATGATTGAATGTAGTACGTGACACATTTGCAACTTGACATTTTAACACTGTACATTTGAATCTTAATTTAACTTAATATTGTGCATTTTAAACGTAACGCAATTTAATATTTGAAACTTAAGAGTTCAACATTGTGCATTTGAAACTGAAAATATTTTAACACTGCACATTTTAAAGTGATTATAGTTTAATATTGTATATTTGAAATCTTAAATAATTTAATATTGTACATTTAAAACAGCATATTTTTACACTGCACATTTCAAAGTAATAATTTAATATCAAATATTTGAAACTTAATATTGTACATTTAATGCTGAATGTATTTTAACATTATAAGTCATTATAATTAAATATTGTATAATTGTAACTTAATATTGTATGTTTGAATTTAACACTGAATAAATTACATTAAATTAACCTAATTTAACATAATTCACACTGCACATTCAAAATGTAACAATTCGACATTGATTTATTTAAAAGTCAATATAATTTAACTTTGTACATTTAAAAATCAATATAATTTGACATTGAACTTTTCAAAGTCAATATAACTTAACATTGTACATTTGAATTGTCACATTGTTTAACGCTGCACTTTTGAAAAGTAACTAGCATTTTGCATTTGAAAGTGTTTGTAAATAAATATTATGCTTTGGAAACAAAATGTATTTATTAACATCAGACATTTGAAAGTGAATATTCTTTAATATGTGCATCTGAAACTTAAAATAATATGATGCCAGTAGATGAAAAGCATCTTTTATCTTTTTTCTCTGATTTCAGCACCAGAAGCTGTGGTAAGCTCCTTTTTGACATTTAGCCTGTATCTGAGGATGAAAATGCTTTTCATTTGTCCATCAGAAACCAAGCTCAAAAATGCTGCAACCATCTTGGCCTTATCTCCTCCTGAGCAGGGCAGAGCAGCCTTCATGTTCTGCGGTTTGCTTACAGTCAGATTCGGAGACATTTCAAAGAGCCGTCTGCGCGTGTGAGCACATTTACACTACGTATGTATTTGCATGTGTATTTATGGCTGCATTGAACCGGCAGATGAACGGCTAAGTTGTTTCTTACCGTTTTCTTTGAGCGCTCAGTCAGATGTTGGTCTGTATTTGCTCAGTTCTTCATCCTGAGGTTCTGCTTTCATGTCGTCCTTTTATTACACCCTCACCCGCACTGCCTCGCTCAGGGACAATGCCCGCCATGTTTTGCTTTTGCTGATAAGAGCGTCTCAGAGCAGCAGACTTGAATAAAGTTTACAGGAAAACATGGGCCTTGTGCTCATTAATATGCGTGAAGGTGAAAAGCTAAAGCAGATCGGAGCAGATGTGCTGACGCAGGATGTGTTTTTGTGATTTAAGCTGATTTTATTCCAACTTCACTGAAATCTCAGTGGTGTCTCATACGTGGGTGGATGCTTAACAATGAGTTTTGGAGAAATTTGTGCTTTAGTGTCTTTTAAAATGCATAAATCTACCAAGACAAACCATCAATATCACTTGAACCACATTTAAGCAAATTATCACTTTTCTGTTGTTTTTCCCCTACAGATCCCACATTCTAGATTATTCTTGGATTTAATTTTTTTCCCTGAAATCAATTTACAACATTTGTGTGGTTTCAATATGCCAAAAACAATCATACTGTCCCATTAAAATAAAGGGAAATTCCACTAATTTCTGCATAACTGAGTGTGAGATGTAAACAGAGTGATTCAGAGTGGTTTGGTGTGAAATGGTTCAGATTTCTTTACAGTGGTGGTGATGGGAATCAGGGGTCACCATGACTACAACACAAATATAGACATTTTATTTACTATCCAAAACCACCAGTGAACCTACACGTGTCTTCTGAGTTTTATATGGAATGTTGATGATGGGGAAAATAGTGGAGAATCTGCATTTTTTTTTCCTTTGGGGACTGTTTTGCCTCACAACACCCTGCATATTATGTATCCCTCCACCATGAATGAATTTTAAGTTCTCAAAACTGTCATAAAACAGTGTCTCAGACGTCAGGCAGTGTATTCATAGCCATTTCATGTAATAACTTTCTGTGAGGGAGCTTTTAGAGGTGGATGTCTGGTTCCTGTCACCACCACTGTGAACAATTCTGACTCGGTAAGTTTCTCTTGAACAGAGCGTTTTACACCAAGCCACTCTGAATAACTCTGTCATTCACATGTCGGGGTGGCTAAACTGCTGTAGGCTGAATGGGTGGGGTAGGCTGAATGGGCGGGGCTAATCTGTGGTAGGTTGAATGGGTGGGGCTAAACTGCTGTAGGCTGAATGGGCGAGGCTAAACTACCCTAGCATGAATGGGCGGGGCTAAACTGCTGTCGGCTGAATGGGTGGGGCTAAATGCTGTAGACAGAATGTGCAGGGTTAAACTGCTGTATGCTGAATGGGTGGGGCTGAACTTCTTTAGGCTGAATGGGCATCTCATTTACAAACTTGGTTCTTTAAATAACTGTCCTCTGAAAGTTTGAAAGGTTCACTAGTGAACCAAAAGTGAAAATATGTAAGAAATATTTGTGTTTATTTTTGAGTGTATGTGAAGCAGAAGACAGGAAAAAGTGACTGACGCTAATGAAGATAGTGTTGATGCTCTGCATTATCGGTTATATGAGGACTGAAATACACAGCTGAGTTTTAAAGAGAATGATTGCATCTGCTTTGAAGTTTTTTCTTGGTCGAGAAGATGTTGCTCTCCTGCCGTTGGGATTCAGTAAGGCTGTAATGTAGCAGCTAGCACACTGGCAGTGCCCATATGCGTAGTGTCTGCTGTTCTCTTAATGCCAGGCTGAATCCCCAGAGTGAAGGATGGAGAGAAATATCAGACTGTTTTCACCCAGCTAAGAGAAACACAGTTAAAATAACCAAAAAAAGAAAGAGAGTTTTATTTATAATCAGAGTCAGGACCAGGGTTAGTGTCAGCATTGCATTTTGGGTTGAGGTTAAAGTTGGGGTTATGCTGGAAGCAAAGCTCACTCAGTTTAAAGGAATGATTATTGTCTGTAATAATAATGATAATAGTGATAATAATGATAATACAGTTTTATAAAATATACATTTAATATTATGTGAAGATTTGATTGAGCATTAGTGAGGTCAGGTACTGATGTTAGATGGTCAGTTCTGGATCACTCCAACTCATCCCAAAGGTATTGGTTGGAGAACACAGTTCCACTGCTCCACAGCCCAGTACTGGGGGGCTTTATACCCCTATAGCCCACACTTGGCATTGGACATGGTGACCTAAGGATCATGTGCGGCTGCTCCAGAGCGTCCCATTTTATTGGTCAGTGCTTTTCTATGGAGATTATACAAGCTTTGTCAGCAGTGAGCGACCTTACAGTAGCTGAATTCACTCATTTGAAGGACTGTCTGGAAACTTTTGGACACACATTGTATGTTATATTTGTAAATGACTGTAGAGACTCAGATTTCTTTACAGTGGTGGTGATAGGAACCAGGGGTCACCATGACTACAACACAAATATAGACATTTTATTTATTAATCCAAAACCACCAGTGAACCTGTACATGTCTTCTGACTTTTATATGGAATGTTGATGATGGGAGAGTAGTGTAAAATCTGAAATAATAAGTTTTCTTTGGGGACTATTTTGCCTCACAGCTCCATGTGTGTTTCCTCAACCATAAATTGATTTTCTTCTCAAAACTATCGTAAAACAATATCTCAGTCATCACTGTGTATTCATAACCATTTCATGTAATAACTTTCTGTGAGGGAGCTTTTAGAGGTGGACATCTGGATCCTATCACTACCACTGTAAACAGTTCTGACTCTGTAAGTTTCTCTAGAACAGAGCATTTCATACCAAACCACTCTGAACGACTCTGTTTACATCTCAGCCGCTTATATAAATAAAAAAAATGATTTAAATGAGTTAATTATAAACTTATACAAAGAATATACAAATCGTTCATCTAAATAAAGCATTTGCAAACATTAGCCATTTGCCTCTGTGATTCTTTATGGACATAAATACTAATTTTGGATGAATGTAGCTCCTCCAGACTGACGCGGGTTGTATAAGCTGTCAGTTATCTGCAGTAAAGAGAATAATGTTTTTAGCAAGATTGATGATGGGCTCAGCCAGGCTGTCATGCTTTCCCCATTCTGACCATGCTCAGCCTGTAAATCTGTCCAAATGTGACGGGTTCCTGTCAGAAAACGTCCACTTACACACAGGCACGGAGTAGTGTCAGTTAGTACTGGAACAGAATCTATTAGCCATGCGCTCTGCAAATAGGTGTTTATATAGTGGATGATGAAGGCTGATGAATGGCTTGTGTTTGGAACAGCTGCTGTAAGCATTCAGTCATCTTCAGTTTCTATCAGACCTACAGATACACTACATTTACTGTGTTCTTTATATATTTTATACATCTGTATATACTTTACGGGTGCAGTAATCATTCTTACAAGGTACATAGTGGCATAATGTCAAAAGCAATAGATATTCTAATAGATATTCTAATTATAAAGTAATATTTAGCTAGAGAGCTGTCAAATTGGATCCAACAGCAAAATGTTTGTTTTTTGTACACCAAGCGCAATATTCATGCAATTTATTCAGACATCTATAAATTAAATTAAAAAATAATTCAAATAAAAAAAATAATTGTGAGTAACTCTCTGGCACAGCCAGAACTTTCAAACAAAGGGTCAGTTTCTTATCTGCTTCCTCACGGATGGCATTGATCTCCAAAAGCAGCTCAGAGTTACAGACATCAGAATTATAAAGGTTTCATTGAGTTTCAGCTCCTGAGTGAGGCGGTGAAAGTCTCCAGACTGCTTTCGCTTGGAGACCCGCCTGCCCGGTCTCACCGTTTGAATGTTTTGTAAGAAGGATGACGTTTTGCACTTAAAGGCATTCTGCCGGTTTATTTGCTTCTCTCATGGCTTGAACAACACTGTGAAATTCCCCACAAAATTGTTGGATAAAGTTGGTTTTGATGCAAACATTTCACTTTTTCATGTTGTTTATTCACTTCTGATTCTGATTCTGAATGTAAATCTGATTCTACTTTTAATTCTAATTTTAATTCAGATTTTTTTTTCTAATTCTGATTATATTTTTGATTCCAATTTTAATTCCATTTCTAACTTAAATTCTCATTCTATTTCTAATTTCAATTCTAAATGCAGGTCTGGTTATAATTTTAATTCCATTTCTAATTTTGATGCTGATTTTGTTTCTAGTTCTGATTATATTACTGATTCTCATTCTAATTATAAGTCTATTTCTTATTCTGATTTTATTTCTAATTCTGATTTATATTTATGATTTTAATTCTAATTTTAATCCTGATTTCATTTCTAGTTCTGATTCTAATTGTGATTATAATTCTGATTTCATTTATAGTTCTGTTTCTAATTCTGATTCTATTTCTGATTCTAATTGTAATTCTGATTCTAATTCTGATTTCATTTATAGTTCTAATTCTGAATAATGCTGATTCCATTTATAGTTCTCTTTCTAATTCTGATTCTATTTCTGATTCTAATTGTAATTTTGATTCTAATTCTGATTTCATTTATAGTTCTAGTTCTAATTGTAATGCTGATTTCATGTATAGTTATGTTTTTAAATTCTGTTTCTGGTTCTGATTGTAGTTCTGTTTCTAATTTTGATTCTGCCTTTGGCTTTCCAGGCTGAATGATGTGAAATGATTCCTCCATCTCCCTGTGTTCCTGTTCTAGGTCATGATTTCTGTGCAGAGGGAATGCTCTGTGGAGAAAACTCTGTTTGCAAAAACCGGAATAACAAAGCAGAGTGTGAGTGCAAGAGCGGCTACGCGTCGATCCACGGGGACTCCACTTACTGCGAAGGTAGGAAACACTGGGGCTTCTTCATCTACTCCAGAGAGGGAGTCTGTTTGTGTAAAAGAGACAGAGAGAGTGCGTTAGTCACATGACTGCCGGCAATAATGGAGTTATTTGATCAAGTAGCTTAGCAGGCGCGCTTCATTGGCCTCTTGAATTGCGGGGTGTATGTGATGGTGTCCTGGGGCTTCGGCGCGGCTTTGCCGGGTCCACAGAGACTCTGCCATCCGTAATCAGCTCTTTCTCTCCCTTGGCTGTTGTTTGCTTTGTGAAGTCGTTGGTGCTCAGCTCGGCACCGACGCAAAAATTTCCAACACACACAGTTGATTAGAAACAAACACACAACACAGAAACACTATGAGTTCAGTATTTACGTTACAGTGAGAAAGTGTGGGTGTACACCACAGGGTCATTTCCTGTCAGCCCGTTGGAATTATATAGTCAGCTCAATAAATGTAATAAACATATATAGTATGAACCAATGTAGCAATATACACAGCATGTATATATGGCACAGGACCAGTTTTTCAACCCCCTAATAAACTTTCAGAACAAAAAACATGAACTTTTGTGCTACACACTTAAAAAAGATGGTTCTTCAAGAGTTCATTAGTAAAGAGCATGGTTCTAAATAGCACCAAAAAGGGTTCTTCTATTGTAACAAGCCTGACATCAACAACAATAACAGTAGAATATCCATCTACAGCACATTTTCCATCAATCTGAAGAACCCTTTCATGATGCACCCCTTTATTCGTTGGAAAGGGTGCTTTGAATGTTCATAGTTCTATATAGAACCATTTTCTTTACTAAAGAACCCTTGAATCATCATTTTAAGTGTGTATACTTCTGAAAATATTAAGCTTTTTTGTTCAAGAACCTATAATGCTTGATTCCTACATCTCCCAGCATTCATTTGGACTGCTATAGCTGAAGGGGGTGTGGCTATATCAACACTGATTGGCATGACCACACCCCTTCATCTACCGTGGAAGATTTCTAGAATTTAAAGTTTGGGACTTTTAAACTCAGCAGAAACAGAAAACCCTAGTTTAGATGGGCTATCTGTAACTAGCCCTGCTTGTGTTGCTGGAAAGAGAGCTCATTGGCGTTGGCACAGTTCACTCCATCTACTGCTGTGGCTCATTCCATATTGCTGGTTAGTAAAACTGCAGTTTCTGTTGTGAGTTTGCAGGAGGTGCAATAGTCGATGGTTGTGGATGCATCATTTTTGTTGTGAGTGATTGGGAGTGACTGAATGTGAGTGATTGTTCTACAGTGTCTCATTAGGTTGAATGAATCAATGACTCTAAATGTAGGTATTATGATATAAACTGAGTCTGTTCTGCAGTTTCTCGTTAGGTTCAATGAATAACTGGCTCTAAATGTAGGTATTGTGATATAAACTGAGTCTGTTCTGCAGTTTCTCATTAAGTTGAATGAATAACTGGCTCTAAATGTAGGTATTGTGATATAAACTGAGTCTGTTCTGCAGTTTCTCGTTAGGTTGAATGAATAACTGGCTGTAAATGTAGGTATTGTAATATAAGCTGAGTCTGTTCTACAGTTTCTCATTAGGTTGAATGAATAACTGGCTCTAATTGTAGATTTTGTGATATAAACCTGTCCTGTACTGCAGTCATTATGTTGAATGGGATTTTTACTAGCATTCTGTAGAACTCAGCAACAATAGTTTTAAAGGAACAAATCTGTGGAAAGACTATTGACTGAGTAATTCTGAAAAAGCTGAGTATGTTTTGGATTGTCTACGAGTCTGCAGTGTTTTAGTCAAACTTTTCTGAAAGTCTGTGTTTCCCAGGGCAGTTAATTATTGGATGATGATCCTGGATCCTGCAGGTCCAAAATTATACTCATGAGTTGACATTTAAAATGATTTCAATAGTTTTTAAATATTCAGAAGATATTTCATGTATAATAAACCTCTTTCAGAAAGAATAATTCTAAAGTAAAATGTATGTGCAACACTGCATGAAACGTTTGTCATGTTTATATTATCACGTTCATTTCACTAAGCAGCTGTTAGTATTTTATTTCTTCACAGTAGTGAATTGTGTTTTTGTAATTTAGTGTTTTGTGTTTTTATAATTCTGTGTTTTGCTGTTTGCGTAAAGGATAGGTTAGTAAGATTTTTGTTTTTACATATCCCAAAATAAAAGTCTGTACTTGCGTCACATCCAGTTAGAGACGCATGTTTTTTATAATTATTATCCGACAGCTTTATTGAACATCACATTTTATGTCAACATCTTACAGCCCTTATAAATGTGTGTGTGCCTGTGTATATATATATATATATATATATATATATATATATATATATATATATATATATATAGCTGGTAAAGGCAGAGAGGATCTTCTAATCCTTAGAACTCACTTTCTACTTGGAGTTATAAGGTTCTATCTGACAAAACATGAAAAGGAGCAACGATTTTCAAGGAACACAAACAGTTTACTCGTACTTTGGTTTAAAACACAATCAGTGCTGTAACAGTGTCTACATGTATCAGGACATTAAGTTTAATGCTTTCTGTGACATTTTTATGACACTTATTTTTATAATTTATTTTTTTTTATAACACATTTCTCATTTTAGGATAAATCATCTTTATTTAGTAAAGCATTGCAGATAAGGAAAAATGTCAGTGCTAAGTATTTTGTCCAGTGCAGGGTCAGTTTTAGGAACTGTTAGTTTAAGTTTCCTTTGGTTAAACAGAAACTAGCTACTGTAATAAACTGCCCCAGCAGGTCAGTGTAAAGGCAGTGTGAGGTTTAGTTTTGTATCAGAAATGTGACTCTAATGAGCCAAAATGACTTAATTTGGGAGAAAGAAAACAAGGAAAAGATGGATAAATTAATTAAATTAATGTTTATGTTGTAATCAGTTCAAATGTTGACTATTTAATCACCTTTAAAATTAATATTTATAAAATTTGAGACCATAATACCTTTCAAAGAACTGTAAGAAGACAGGCAGAGTTTCAGCAACATGTTTTCATGCAGTTGCTGAGCAGAGAGGTGACATGACAAAGAAGCAGAACCTGATTGGTCCTCTTGTATGTAAACGAAGTGCTGATTGGCTTGCAGATAGAACCTTATAGACTTTGACTTTGGAACCTCTTTATTTTCTAGATTAAGAGTCCAAAAATGCAGACAACTCAAAAACACCTTACATAATATTAAGAATTTGTCACAGAGTAAGTATGTGTAAATAACTTAATTTAGACAAAAATGTCAGATTGAGCTATATAATACCAGGAGGACGGTGTGTGTGTGTGTGTGTGGTTGTGTGTAAGAGAACAGCATAAATACATCAAATGTGTGCAGAAAGAGTTTTTCAGGAAAGAGTTCTGCAGGAAGCGCAGAAGGTGTAAATCTGGCCCTTTTGGGTTTTGTGGATAAACCAGGCTGTTTTTGTTCATTTAGCTGAGCATTTTGTCGAATATAATTCACAGCCACAACTATTCTGTAGAAAGAAAGCCATGCTGCTTCATCTTTCCATCGTTTTCTGTATGATTTTAACATCCTACTCAGGTTTTCGTCTCCATACAGAGGTTCTAAACTCTATTTCCTAGCACGCATGCCTTCTGGGCTCCACTAATGCGTTGAAAAATAGAACAGCTTCACCAAGGTAATTTCTTATGAAAATGAACAGTGCCTTCAGGCTGCAGGTTTTTTTTCTTTTTCTCTATTTTAATGTTTTTAATTCAGAGGACCCGCCATGCAGCCCCTTTACTCTGACAGGATTACACTGTGTTTCACCTGCGTGGATCTGAACGTCTAAACATAGCAGAGTATAGTCAGAATATGATTAAATGTGCATGGTGATACTTAAACATACACCTTACTGCTGGTTATAGGACTATATTTATAGCGGTAGTCCACTGTTTCGTAGGAAAATAGTCTTTGAGTCTTCGACCTTGTTAATGAACACTGTTGGGTTTAAAGAGCTGATGACCAACATTTTTCTTGTGTTTTAGTACATTTCACCTGTGGGGTTTGAGTTTTATGTGCGACAAATGGTCAGAATTCTCTTATACCTGAGAAATAAACAGGCTCTTTATTACTGTGCCTTTAAGATTGGTGTATGTAAAAGAGCTCTGTTCTGATTGACCGTGCCTTGTTTAAAAAGCAGTCGGGGCTAAAACACTCTTTATAACTTCAATGTGATTGGGCGAGGCTTACCTGCTATAGATGTGTACATATCTTTATATAGATCTTCAAATCTATTTTGACTTCTGAACAGCATCAAATCCAAACTGAACTCCTTCTGTAGACACTCAGCAGAAATAGAAAACCTGAGCTGAGATGGCTATCTGTAACTGCTTGTAACTAACACTGCTTTAGTTACTGGAAAGAGAGCTTACTTAACAACTTTCTTCCATCACGTCCGATATGAAAAATGATGTTCTTTTTCTGGCTGCTTCAGAATCAAAACTGGAAAGTAAACACATTACTAGAGTCTACACTGTTAGAAATAAAGGTTCTGTGCAGGTACATTTTTCATTCATCAAGGTCAGACAATGTAAATGTGCCCTCAAAGGTACAACAGTGGTTTTAAGGTCCAATTGTAAAGCTTAAATACGTTTTTTCCAGGTGAAAAGTACATATTTGTACCTTTTCATAACCTAACTTTTTAAAACAGAACTGTAAAAAAAAGCCTGGAAACGAGAAGGGGTGTGTGGAGTTAATACAACTTAGAAAATATCATTTCAATGGATTGCGGTACAGTTATGTTGCCTGACTAAAGATACTGAGATGCACCCTTGAGGGGACCACCCCAGTGACAGTTTAGTACCTTTATTTCTGAGAGTGTACCGTGTTATACTCCATTTACTACACTCTTTAAAAAGATGGTTCTTCAAGGGTTCTTTAGTAAAGAAAATGGTTCTATATAGAATCTTTTTGAAAAGAGTTCTATATAGCTCCAAAAAGGTTTCTTTTATAGTTACAAACCTGACATCGTAACAGTAGAAGAACCCATT